ACCCTCTGTTGCTTTTTACAGATTCAGACTAACACGGCTACCCCTCTGATACTTGACACAGGATACAGAATGTACAGTGCTCACTGGATATTATCTTTATTACAAATATTTGCACTTTAAAAATGATAAACAAAATAAATAGTATTGTTCAATTCACCTCATACAAGTACTGTAGTGCTATCTCTTTATCGTGAAAGTGCAATTTAAAAATATAGATTTTTTTTTGATACATAACTGCACTCCAAAACAAAACAATGTAAGACTTTAGAGTCTACAAGTCCACTCAGTCCTACTTCTTGTTCCGCCAATCGCTCAAGAAAAAAACGTTTGTTTACATTTACGGGAGATGCTGCTGCCTGCTTTTTATTTACAATGTCACCTGAAAGTGAGAACAGACGTTCACATGGCACTTTTGTAGCCAGATATTCTAAACCTTCGTATGCCCCTTCATGCTTCGGCCACCATTCCAGAGGACATGCTTCCATGCTGATGATGCTCATTAAAAAAATAATGTGTTTATTTTATGACTGAACTCCTTGGGGGAGAATTGTACGTCCCCTGCTCTGTTTTACCCACATTCTGCCATATATTTCATTTTATAGCAGGCTCGGATGATGACCCAGCACATGTTGTTCATTTTAAGAACACTTTCACTGCAGATTTGACAAAATGCAAAGAAGGTACCAAAGAAGGGAGATTTCTAAAGATAGCTACAGCACTCGACCCAAGGTTTACGTATCTGAAGTGCCTTCCAAAATCTGAGAGGGATGGGGTGTGGTGCATGCTTTCAGAAGTCTTAAAAGAGCAACACTCTGATGCAGAAACTACAGAACCCGAACCACCAAAAAAGAAAATCAACCTTCTGCTGGTGGCAACTGACTCATATAATGAAAATGAAGATGCATCAGTCCATACTGCTTTGGATTGTTATCAAGCAGAACCCGTCATCAGCATGGCAGCATGTCCCCTGGAAGGGTGGTTGAAGCATGAAGGGATACAGGAATCTTTTGTGCATCCGGCACATAAATATCTTGTGACGCCAGCTACAACAGTGCCGTGAGAACGCCTATTCTCACTTTCAGGTGACATTGTAAACAAGAAGAGAGCAGCATTATCTCCTGCAAATGTAAACAAACTTGTTTGTCTGAGCGATTGGCTGAACAAGAAGTAGGACTGAGTGGACTCGTAGGCGCTAAAGTTTTCCATTGTTTTATTTTTGAATGCAGTTATTTTTTGTACATAATTCCACAATTGTAAGTTGCACTTTCATGATAAAGAGATTACACTACAGTACTTGTATGAGGTGAATTGAAAAATACTATTTATTTTGTTTTTTACAGGGCAAATATTTGTAAACAAAAATAAATATAAAGTGAGCACTGTACACTTTGTATTCTGTGTTGTAATTAAAATCAATATATTTGAAAATGTAGAAAACAGCCAAAATTATTATTTAATAATAATTATTTACATAACTGATATTCTATTATTGTTTAACGCCACGATTAATTTTTTAATCATGATTAATTTTTTGAATTGCTTGACACCCCTAATTTTAAATCATGGCTTTCTAACTGCCCGAAGGACAGAGATAAAGGTTTCCCCGTCTGACACCTTCCCTTGCCCCTTTCATTTTTCTGAGTTTTTAGTGGTTATCTGAAGAAACATGTGCCCCCAACCTCACATTCCCCATTTTTCTCGAGCTAATAGCTGGTATCTAAAATTGCATCCTCTCCATCTCCTTCTACTAAACATACTATTTTTAGTCAAAGGTCTAATGACATAAAAAATAACCCCAATTAATGTTTTAGAAAGTATTTCTTACATGCTACGTACAGAGAGAGAAAGAGAGAGAGTAACCCAGGCTTTAAAAAGTATAATTCAGAAATAGGGCCCGAGGATAAGACATCAGACCTGGCTTTTATGGGAAACTTTGACAACTGTCTGGAACCTTTATTTAGCGAAGCAATGTTATATGCATTGTTTGCCAGTTGTCATACTTTAGCACAAGTGAGCACATGTAACATAAAAGCTCTCCCCTGCCTCTTGAGGTGTTATCTCCCCACCTTTCTTTTGCCAGTCTTTCTAATCATTTCCCCAAGGGGATAGCAGTGAGAAATAAATAAATTACATTAACAAGGGCATCAGATACACTGGGCATATATAACAGACCAAAACGCCATGCTTGGTCATTTCTAACTGGCAAGAAAAATGCTCAGTGATATATTGTAGCAGTATCTGCAAAGCAACAATTAAAAAAATTACATAGTTGTCCTCACATTGAAGGGGTCCCAAGAAATAATTCCCCAGTTCTTATATCAAACTTCACGTTGTACACAAACTGTGACCCTAGGTACTTGATAGAGATAAATACACAAGACAGCATTTGATAGACCTGAGAAATCGTTGAAAACAGAGGCGTCATGGTGACTAAAGCCCTAACGAAGAAGGGTTTGGGAGGGATTAAAGGCTTTGTTGAAGTGAAAGAGGATATGATGTAAGAGTGGATTTGAAGAAAACGGGAAAGCTCAGAGGTATTTTGCACCAAATATGAAACTCGAATATGAAATTGCAGAACTGCTAATTGTTAAATGTAACCTATTGCTTAAATTAGCCTTTGTCCCAGATGACTGGAGGATAGCTAATGTAACACCTGTTTTTAAAAAAGGCTCCAGAGGCGATCCTCACAATTACAGGCTGGTGAGCCAAACTTCAGAACAGACAAATAGGTTGACACTATAGTAAAGAACAAAATTATCAGATGCATAGATGAACACAATATGTTGGGAAAGAGTAAACAGAGCTTTTGTAAAGGGAAATCATACCTCACCGATCTAGTAGAATTCTTTGAGGGGGCCAACAGGCATGTGGACAAGGGTGATCCAGTGGATATAGTGTGCTTGGACTTTCAGAAAGCCTTTGACAAGTTCCCACACCAAATGTTCTTAGGCAAAGTGAGCAGATGAAATTCAATATTGATAAGTGCCAAGTAATGCACATTGGAAAAAATAATCCCAACTATATATTCAAAATGATGGGGTCTAAATTAGATGTTACTGCTCAAGAGAGAGATATTGGAGTCACCATGGATAGTTCTCTGAAAACATCCATTCAATGCGCAGCAGAGGTAAAAAAGGCTAATGGAATGTTGGGAACTATTAGGAAAGGGATAGATGATAAAACAGAAAATATCATTATGCCACTATATAAAGCCATAGTACGCACACACTTTGAATAGTGCATACAGTTCTGGTTGCCCCATCTCAAAAAAGATCTATTAGAACTGGAAAAGGTGCAGAGGGCACACTGGCACCAAGCCAGGCAAGCCATGAGACCATGGTAGCTGACAATGAAAGTAATCACAAGGATGGGGCAAAGGAGGAGAAACAGAAGATGACTCCTGAGCCCCGCTGTTGTTTGAGGCTCTGAAACTCAATCAGGAGACCCCCAAGTCACTCAAACAGTGGGGTGGAAGAGACGAGGCACGCGTAAGTTATTTGGGGATGTTTTCTGGCCTGTGTTATGCAGATCAAACGAGATGATCACAACGGTCCCTTCTGGCCTTGGAATCTATTAATCTAGGAAGCTGCACGTAAGAATGTTTAAGGCCCTGGTGCAAAAGGCGCGGTAGCGGTGAGAGAAGCAGGCTACAGTTGCTGAACTTGCTAGAGCAGTTGGTTCCCCCACACCCGCCAAAAGGTCTGTGGAACAAGACCAGCCTGAGGTGAATTTTTCGTAAAGGCCGAAGAGGCCTCCTGGCACAAAGTGTAAAGGTTTTAAAGTGTGGTGTAAAAACTAAAATCAAACCTGACTTGTGTTTCGTATTTAAATCCCTCAGCAGCTGAGCACTGTTTCCTCAGAGGCCTTGGAGTACCGGGACACCACCGTCTCTGAAGGCACGAGTGGGTTCGGCCCGGCCTGCTTTTGCCAGACCCAAAACCAGATGTTCAACAGGGTGCTGGGAGAGCAGAGTGTGATAATTCTGCAGCTGGGTTTTATCGGGCTGCCAAATTCCTGCCTCTAACTTAGATAAAATGTAGGTGTTTGTGGCTGTTTCAGGATTTTTCATTTCTTTTTTGTATTTTGCTAAATGGGCCAAATAAGTGAATAATGTGAAAATACTGACTATTAAACCGTTTCAGAGACGCTGAACATTTTGTTTGTATCCATTGCCTCCCAGATATTAAAATATGGGTTTCCCGAACACTCCATTGTTGTTTTTTCATTTATTAGATCCAAGTTTTATCAATACACATTCCATGCAGGCACCTTAAACTCTGAACAAGTTACAGGGGTAACTTAACAAAACAGGGAGCAGTTGTGGAAAGAAAAGTAAAAAGGGTTATGAATTCTTTTACATAGAGTGGGGATAGTTTCATCTAAGCCTGCATTTTGTCTCCTGCCTGGGTGTATTGACCAATTTTACACAGTTAGAGTTTCTTTAAGTCGGGCGGTTGTGTGTGTTGTATAAAATAAGGCTGGAAAACAAGTATGCGTGTGTACGCTTTGGGGGATGTACAGCGGGATTGCCTGGTTTTTATTCTTGATTCCTCTGAAATAACTGCTATAGACCCCCATATGACCCCCTATAGACAGAGGGGATGTCTGGGAATAGATAGATAGATAGATAGATGCAGGCAGCACACACCGGTTGCTAAGCCTGGCTTTGCATGGTCCTCTGCATATGTCCAGTTTCTATTTCCGTGCACTTGTGATGCATGCACTGACTGTCCACATGTGCCCGGAGTGTATCGTTTTCTAAATATAAGGGGACTGTTGTCCCCTTACTAACACTCAGTGGGGGTGTTTTGATTGGCTAGCTCCCACTACCAAAAGAAAGGGGAAGGGTTGATGGGAAATCAGGAGCCTGAGACTGACAGTCCCCAGGACCAATGGGGAGAGGCCAATGCTCCAGGTCAGCCTGATTGACAGGGGGCCAGGCTAATCAGGGAGTCAGGAGGCCAGGGGGGTGCGAGCTGGAATTGCCTGGGGCGGACAGAGTGGGGCTGAGCTAAGGAGAGAGCGGGGGCTGGAGCTGAGCTGGGGAGCGGAGCCGGGCCAGCCAGAGGGGCAGACAAGCCGCCCAGGAGGCAGGTCAGAGCTGGGAGCAGTCACAGAAGCAGCCCACAGAGCAGACCTGTGCCGGGAGCAGAGCTGGAGCCAGGGGGGCCAGAGAAGCAGCACAGGGAGTTGGCGGCAGAGCTGCAGCCGCAGCCGAGCGGAGGCAGAGTGGAGCTGGAGCTGGAGCTGGAGCCGGGGCTGGAGCCGTCCGGAGCTGGGAGCAGCCGGGAAGAGGAGGGGGACCCTGGGCAGAGGGCCCAGCGCAGGGAGATGCCCCCCAGCCAAGAGGCTCTGCAGGCCAGACTTGGGGGGATCATAACCCCGATTGGGCAGGGGCGACGCTGGGAAGAAGGGTCCTGCCACCTAGAGCCTGAGAGCGTGTGGGAGCCGCCAGAGCACGTGTCCGACCCCCCGCATCCCTGCCGCACGGCCAGGGACTGGGCAGGGGCCTGGGACGTGTGAGGAACTGACTGACTTTCCCTGACATTGCAGAGACGCTGGCTGTGACGTCCCCGTGCCACAGAGCGGGGTGACAGGTTTTCCTTTCCTGTTTTTTCCTTGTTTTTTTAAATTGGTTGCTGTTTAATAAATTGTATTTGCTTTGAACTGTGTGTAATGATCAGGGGGTCAGGGAAGTGTCCAGTGCAGAGAGAGCCCCCTGGAGAGGGGACACCCTAGCCCCTGCCCTAAGTGATCACGACAAGGTTGGGGGTCGAGCCCCCCAGGAATCCTGGGCCCAGCTTTGTTGGGGTTAGGAGCACTCTGCCACACAGGAGAGTGGAAGGGGAGCCCTCGAGGTCAGGCAGGGCTCTGGGTAAAGGGAGTGGGAGCGAGGACTCAGATCCTTTCGCTAGCCCATTTCACCGGGGTCGCGTATAAGCCAGGAAAGTTCCCCACGATAGCGGGACCATCCCCCGTTTACATAAAGTTCTCAGTTGTGTTACGTTGGAGGGTTGCAAAACCGGGAAAGTCTTTGTGCTATGAAAGAGTGTCTGTATATCAGACAGGGCTCTCTCTGCACTGGACACTTCCCTGACCCACTGATCATTACACACAGTTCAAAGCAAATACATCTTGGCTAATAGATAGATAGATAGATAGAGGGGCTGGCTGGGGATAGATAGAGGGGCTGGCTGGGGATAGATAGATAGATAGAGGGGCTGGCTGGGGATAGATAGATAGATAGATAGATAGATAGATAGATAGATAGATAGATAGATAG